GATCTACCAGCAACACTGAACCTGGGGCCAGACTCACGAAGCAGTTACGCAAGCACTTACGAACCTGTGCATCTTTTCTCAATCTTTGGCGGCTTTGTTTATAATCATTAAACAGTTCATGAGCTCCGAAGCACCAGGCGGCTCTTTATAACAATAACAACAGTTGATTGGGAAGTTTTCATACTTGTAAGCTGTTTAATACATGTAACCAAATCCATCAAAGATTGAGGAAAGATGTACACGTTCGTAAGTACTTGGGCAACCGCTTTGTGAATATGGCTCCAGGTGTTTACTCAAAATGAAACAGATATCGAAGTTGTAGAGTTCGAAATGGCCTCTGTGGGACTAGCGACCACTGCGTCACCCTGCTAGAAGACATAACGATGCTAAAAGAGCTAGAATGACCAAGAAGGACCTGCTAGAAGACATAACGATGCTAAAAGAGCTAGAATGACCAAGAAGGACTAGCGACCACTGCGTCACCCTGCTAGAAGACATAACGATGCTAAAAGAGCTAGAATGACCAAGAAACACGTTAAGGAGGAAGTGAATTTATTGACGTGGAGACTACAGTAAGATGATCGACGGTTCAATTGAAGTACAATGCAGAACAGAACTAGGAGAGGAAGACAACAAAGGAGACGATGGAATTCCTTTTTTCATAAATGTGCAGATGCAACATTGCAAATGCATCCCTCTCAAGAGGAAGGTGGAGGAGAAAAGCAATCAAAAGCACTGGGTGCTTTTGCAGTCACTGCAAAAAGCTTTTTTGCAGTCACTGCTTTTTTGCAGAAAAGCAATGCAGTCACTATAGAGGAGGTTATGAAAAAAAAAGAAAACACCTGGAGGCATTTACTGCAACAAAATCAAGGGGATCAAACCTAGTATCATCATGCCTGTTGAAGGAGGCTGTAGAGGGACATTATCACCTGCTGTAGAGGGACATTATCACTTGCTGTAGAGGGACATTATCACCTGCTGTAGAGGGACATTATCACCTGCTGTAGAGGGACATTATCACCTGCTGTAGAGGGACATTATCACCTGCTGTAGAGGGACATTATCACCTGCTGTAGAGGGACATTATCACCTGCTGTAGAGGGACATTATCACCTGCTGTAGAGGGACATTATCACCTGCTGTAGAGGGACATTATCACTACAACTTTCAGTAAAACCCTTGAGACTGAAAACCTCCCCAAAATTGTGGAAAAAAAAACTAATTACCCATATTCAAGGGGACAGACAGGAGGTATAAACTAAAGACCAGTGTTACTAAAAAGTAACTCACTTCCTCATAGTAAATGATAGATAATTACTGGTAGGCAAGTCCTAGCTCACACCCACCCCCACACTAGCTAAAAAAAACTACTTTCCCCTCCCCACATCCTCCCCTCCCCAACTCCCGCCTTCCCCTACACCCACTGTCTCCCTACCCCTCCCCAACTCTCTCTCTCTCTCTTCCCCCACCCTAATCCCCACAGCTGTGTGTGTGTGTGTGTGTGTGTGTGTGTGTGTGTGTGTGTGTGTGTGTGTGTGTGTGTGTGTGTGTGTGTGTGTGTGTGTGTGTGTGTGTGTGTGTGTGTGTGTGTGTGTGTGTGTGTATGTGTGTATGTGTGTGTGTGTGGGTGTGGTCGCATGTGTACCCGCCTGTGTGTGTGCTCGCGCGTCGCACCAAGAAAGCATCGAACACAAAATATTAACAACCCCTCGACGCTGACCCTAGCAACCGACCCCAGCCAACCAAGACCAGCCAGCGTTACAACGGACGAACAAGCCACCGTCTCTATGAGACACGTCTCTTCCTCCTCCCAGTGGGCACAATCTCCAAGAACAGCGTCAAGTCGACGCCGAATCAACGTCACCAGCGGCGATTCAACGTCAGTCGAGCACGTTTTCTACTCTCTGGGGCTCCGTTTTCCCCCCAGAGGTGGTCGACCAGCGGACGCCTTCGGGGGCCCCCGACGACGGACTCGGTAATAAATCACTGGCTGGTGAGGTGTATATACCTGTGTATATCCTAACTGGGAGTCGTTGGGGACGGAGCCGCCAGGGGCAGACCACAGGAAGTGTGTTATTGCTCTCAGAGACGGTTGTAAACTGTGCTTGATGGTGGTGGCGGTGGTAGTGCATGGTGGTGATGTTTGGTGGTGGTGGTGCAAGATGATATTTGAAGTTAATGCACCTGGATATTTGAACCACCTCCGACCCTCTCCGCTACCCAGCAAACGCTTACGGTAAAAACACTGAACTTTTCTACCACAAGCAGAACTATCTTATTAGTGCCTAACTTATAGAGGCAGACACCACATACAGAGCCAAACACCACATACAGAGCCAAACACCACATACAGAGCCAAACACCACATAGAGCCAAACACCACATACAGAGCCAAACACCACATAGAGCCAAACACCACATATAGAGCCAGACACCACATATAGAGCCAAACACCACATACAGAGCCAAACACCACATACAGAGCCAAACACCACATACAGAGGCAGATACCACATACAGAACCAAACACCACATACAGAGCCAAACACCACATACAGAGCCAAACACTACATAGAGCCAAACACCACATATAGAGCCAGACACCACATATAGAGCCATACACCACATATAGAGCCAAACACCACATATAGAGCCAAACACCACATACAGAGCCAAATACCACATACAGAGCCAAACACCACATACAGAGCCAAACACCACATACAGAGCCAAACACCACATACAGAGCCAAACACCACATACAGAGCCAAACACCACATAGAGCCAAACACCACATATAGAGCCAGACACCACATATAGAGCCAGACACCACATATAGAGCCAAACACCACATACAGAGCCAAACACCACATACAGAGCCAAACACCACATACAGAGCCAAACACCACATACAGAGCCAAACACCACATACAGAGCCAAACACCACATATAGAGCCAGACACCACATATAGAGCCAGACACCACATATAGAGCCAAACACCACATACAGAGCCAAACACCACATACAGAGCCAAACACCACATACAGAGGCAGATACCACATACAGAACCAAACACCACATACAGAGCCAAACACCACATATAGAGCCAAACACCACATACAGAGCCAAACACCACATATAGAGCCAAACACCACATAGAGCCAAACACCACATATAGAGCCAAACACCACATATAGAGCCAAACACCACATACAGAGCCAAACACCACATATAGAGCCAAACACCACATATAGAGCCAAACACCACATATAGAGCCAAACACCACATACAGAGCCAAACACCACATATAGAGCCAAACACCACATATAGAGCCAAACACCACATATAGAGCCAAACACCACATACAGAACCAAACACCACATACAGAGCCAAACACCACATATAGAGCCAAACACCACATACAGAGCCAAACACCACATACAGAGGCAGACACCACATACAGAACCAAACACCACATACAGAGCCAAACACCACATATAGAGCCAAACACCACATATAGAGCCAGACACCACATATAGAACCAACACCACATATAGAGCCAAACACCACATATAGAGCCAAACACCACATACAGAGCCAAACACCACATATAGAGCCAAACACCACATATAGAGCCAGACACCACATATAGAGCCAAACACCACATATAGAGCCAAACACCACATATAGAGCCAAACACCACATACAGAGCCAAACACCACATACAGAGTATCATAACATAAAAGATGTTCGAGTATATTGAAACACTTCCAAAGTTAAAACCAGATATACATTGCACATATATAGACAAGCAATATGTGCATGAGCTTGCAATATTTGAACGCGAATAAGGTTGCAATATGTAGCTAAAAATTATTTATACACGTCAACAATATTGACATTAAAATAACAATAATATATTAATAATAATTTTACCAGTTAACAACAACTGGAAAACAAGCTGAATATAAGACATTTTATAAGACGTATACAAGATATTTATAAGATATATATAATACATTTATAAGGAGGCACAAAAAAAACTTTTTCAGATGTATATGTTTAACACCACCACACAATTTTTTTTCTTCACATGTATATATTTAACACCGCCACACAAAAAGCACCCTTACTGACCACACCACACAGGTTAGAGTTGCTCACCCACACTGGCCAGCAGCAGCGAGGAGAAACACTTATCATACACAGGAAATGTTTACAAACGACCACATATGCTCAGTTCTGTGGTTAGGTCGTTACGTGGCTATGGCACAGCCTTTAAGACGGGTCACGAGAACCCTCTGGCCTAGTTAGCAGAGTCTTCAGTGGAAGACACGACAAGGGGACGTGGAGGAGCTCGGGTATCGTCGTAGCAGCCTGACCGAGTCGTTGTTACCACTCCGGTTTTGAGTCATGGTCGTCCCTCAGGCCATGAGTTAGAGAGAGAGAGAGAGAGAGAGAGAGAGAGAGAGAGAGAGAGAGAGAGAGAGAGAGAGAGAGAGAGAGAGAGAGAGAGAGAGAGAGAGAGAGAGAGAGAGAGAGAGAGAGAGAGACTATATTTGTATAATGTCCCATTTTGACTGACTTTCACCCTCCTGGGCTGAGGTATGCTGAACTCTGTAACTACTATATGAATTCTGGAACAGTTGATGATATATTGAACTTGTACCCAAGAGTGACTATGTAATGTATTAGTTATACAATGCACATGATGTAACTATAACCTGCGCTTGTAAAGGCATCTTAATCACCTTCAGTGGTTAAGGTGTTTAATAACACACTAGTTTCTATAGCAGAGAAATATCCAATATTTCAATATTGTGTAGGATATAGAAATATCCTATACATATCCATAAATTGAGGATGGTGTGATAAGTCCTTAGTATGAGGATGGCGGCCTCATACTAATGACTTTAGTGACCCACTGAACAAACTCAAGTCCACAGTGGTGCTATACTCAAGTAGTACCAGTCCGATATCACAGCTTATCTCAGGGATCATGCAGTGCAATGACAACTGCACAGTTCAGCTCAGTGGTCACGAGGTATCATGTCGACGTCAGAGCTTAAATCAGAGTCCATGCAGCACCACGTCGACGTCAGAGCTTAAATCAGAGTCCATGCAGCACCACGTCGACGTCAGAGCTTAAATCAGAGTCCATGCAGCACCACGTCGACGTCAGAGCCTAACTCAGGGTTCATGTAGTGTCATGCCGTGGCTACAGCTTAGATTATTAAATTAAGTAGCTTCTAAACAGCTCTCATATCTGCATTTAACTCCTCAGTATGAATAATGTAGAGGACTTGCGAGAGTTCCTTCTTGTGTACCACTGAATGACTTGGACATCTCACAGAGAGGTTGAAGTTCCGGACATCTGAGAAGTGATGAGGTCCTGGATATCTCTGAAGTGTGATGAGCTGGACATCAGCGCGGAGGTTAAGACCTGGACATCTCTGTACATACTATTTCCTCTGTAGGAATGTCGTGACCTAAACTCATTAGAAAATACTATTTGTACTTACTATTTGTGTCTGCAGAATGGAACTTATTAGCTCTTGGACTCCGCCTTTCTAACCAATCTATTTTTCTCTATTATATCTACTACATATATTTCTCTAACACACACACACACACACATCCCCAGGAAGCAGCCCGTAACAGCTGTCTAACTCCCAGATACCTATTTACAGAACAGGGACATCAGGGTGAAAGAAATTTGGCCCCATTTGTTTCCGCCTCGTCCGGGAATCCAACCCAGGCCTTAAGAACTACGACTCCCGAGCGCTATCCACTCAGCCGCGAGGCCCCTTGAGTGGATAGCGATGTGTGTGTGTGTGTGTGTGTGTGTGTGTGTGTGTGTGTGTGTGTGTGTGTGTGTGTGTGTGTGTGTGTGTGTGTGTGTGTGTGTGTCATAGGGTTCAGCGTTGCTATTAAAATGTAGAGCAATTGCATCCACATCATTGCACACAGTTGAACTTACAGATCTGGGGCCAGATTCACGAAGCCGTTACGCAAGCAATTACGAACCTGTACATCTCTTCTCAATCTTTAGCGGCTGTGTTTACAATTATTACACAGTTAATGAGCTCCGAAGCACCAGGAGGCTGTTTATAACAATAACAACAGTTGATTTGGAAGTTTTCATGCTTGTAAAATGTTTAATAAATTTATCCAAAGCTGTCAAAGATTGAGGAAAGATGTACACGTTCGTAAGTACTTGCGTAACTGCATCGTAAATCTGGCCCCTTGGTAAGTTTGGGTCACGTGGTAGTAAAGTCAAAAATGGATATCGCAAGTACAGTCCATTCCTAATATTCGTGTTATATGCGTTTGTTAAGTACACTACAGCAGGTTACATAATAGTCCTCTTCAATAGCTCTTAAATCTTCCGATAGTAGAGACACAGACACGTCATGGTAATTCAAACATGTTCTTCAGACTTGTCAACAGCTGTACAGATGGACTTTCACCTCAAGGTTACTCCGGGTCCTGTGGCTCAGCGGTCTATGTCCTCAGCTCATAACCAAGGGCAAAACAAACTAAAAAATGAGTAGACACGTTTAATTTCACCTGATGTTTATATTCACCGGCAGTTAGGGTGGTTCACTGTTGTGGGTTGCATTCAGGGGAAGGTCAGTAGGGGGTACCTAGGAGGACCTCGATAAATCCAGGACCAGGCTTCCTGTCCCCAGCAACGGGAGTGGAAAGATTGAGAAGACAGGCTTCATTAGTCTCAGGAGGCCTGGTCGACGACCGGGCCGCGGGGACGCTAAGCCCCGGAAACACCTCAAGGTAGTAGGCGGTGTTATCGCCAGAGATTTCAACGCACCAAAGTAATGATCTTAGTTTGAATGGAGTGTGTACTCACCTAAATGTGCTTGCGGGGATTGAGCTTTGGCTCTTTGGTCCCGCCTACTGGAGACGATGGAGAGTGCAGAGGGTGTAGAGATTGAGGGGGAACATTGAAACTGTACACAGCCGATGGGGGATTGAGGAAATTGGGAAAAATTGTAGATAGAAGATTCTAGCAAGCGTAAATTAAGGCAGAGAGGGCAGCGAGAAACACTCACGTTACATATCACATCAAAGAGTACCATAAAAATACAAAATTTGATGGTCTTCAAATACAACGACGGGACCACATATCTCGGGGTTGTATTTACTCTTAGATGGAGTGTACCCCATGCTCTGACCTGCACTATTGAGCAACACGAGTTTATAATCAAGTTTTGGCATGCAAAGTAATGAAGTTTACAGACGAGGACGATATATTAGGAGGCAACGGAAAGGATTGTTTTTAGTATGGTGATGATGGTCGTTCGCTACGCGATTGTCCTCATTGTAGTAGCGACGGTATACACGGAAATTGTAATAGAAGATGATGAGGAGGAAGAGGAGGGAATTACTCAATAGAAAGATTGTTTCAAGTGATATGGTGAAAGGCATGCGGCTCAAGGATGTGTATTTGCAGAACAAGGAAGAACTACTTTAAGAAGACTCCGACCACCTCTGTATGTGCCTCTAGATTTAGATGATAACAATTGTTTGGGTTAGTATACAAATTAGAGAGAACCACAACACCTATGATAACCTGTCAGATTAACTAAAGATAACCCAGAACCTCAAGCGAAGGGTAACTTATCTGATAACAGCTCTCATTGATAACAAATGAACATACCCACCAAATATCAATTCAGAACATGTCCCTTCCTAATAATCTGAATCGACAAGACCTCATATCCTGCACACAGACTTGACAGAACACAAACTATACTATACAAGCGGCATAGTCATCCCTCATGCCAATGATATATCATGATTTACAAAAGCAAAGGTGATGGAAATGCACATGAAGGATGTAGAGAGACATTTACAATGATTGCTGTCTAACACGAGAACTAATATCGCGGGTTTATATGAGGCTGCCTCATGAACTTATCAGCTTTCATGGGCACTTTTTTTCATTAGTGAACAAGAGTGGTTTGTGTGAGAGGCTGAGGAGGAGTAGTTGTAAATACTCAGCTTCACAGAATAAAGGTAATATGAACATCCCATTGAAATAACCAAACAAGGAAGCTTACTGGATTTGTGTTTAAGGAATATAACACAATAATAATAATACTATCTTGAGAGGTTATCTTGAGATGATTTCGGGGCTTTTTTTTAGTGTCCCCGCGGCCCGGTCCTCGACCAGGCCTCCACCCCCAGGAAGCAGCCCGTGACAGCTGACTAACACCCAGGTACCTATTTTACTGCTAGGTAACAGGGGCATAGGGTGAAAGAAACTCTGCCCATTGTTTCTCGCCGGCGCCTGGGATCGAACCCAGGACCACAGGATCACAAGTCCAGCGTGCTCTCCGCTCGGCCGACCGGCTCCCTTATATATTAATAATATATATATTACAATATATTAATAATATTGATAATGATAAAATATCATTTGAAATTCACAATGAAGAAGAGAGAGAAGTTTTTTCACACCGTTCCACTCCCAAAGAAGAAATGGACTGCCCCATACCTTCCCTCCACTCCCAGGAACTGATGATGGAGTGCCTACACCTTCCCTCCACTCCCAGGGACTGTTGAGGAGGCCTACACCTTTCCACTCCCCTGGTGATGGAGTGCCTACACCTTCCCTCCACTCCCAGGGACGAACTCCGGAGTACTCCACTCCACTCCATCACTCCATTTTCGCCACTGTATATCCCAGAGTCGTAAACTTGTGGTGAAACATTTGTAGCTCTCGGCTCGTAAACATTTACTGCCGGGTAATGAGCGAGGCCCGCCACCGCCGCCCACCGCCGCCACCCACCGCCACCACCCGCCGCCACCCACCGCCGCCCGCCACAGCCGCCACCCACCGCCACCCACCACAGCCGCCACCCACCGCCCCCACCCCTGCCTTTTGGAGGCCTCAGTGCCACACGTAACACCAACAACAGGGATTATATTTAACACAACACTGTACACCAGGGGACCATATTTACCACTATGATTAACACAAGGGGACCGCTTTAACACCAATATTAACATCAGGGGACATCATTAAACACCAACAATAATACCAGGGACCGTATTTAACATCATCGCTAACACCAGGGGACCACATTTAACACCGATATTAACACCAGGGACTACATTTAACACCGATATTAACTCCAAGAATAGTCTTAAACGCGGGATTGAAAACCAAATATAACTTTGAACACTAGAAGCCGCGTTGAACACGAATGTGAACACGAACAGAAGTCTTGAACACGAAAACAAAAGCTTGAAAAAAAGAAAACAATAAAAACCCCATTACCACAACCACCACCACTAACGGCAACAACACCACAACCACCACCACCCACCACCACCCACCACCACCACCCACCACCACCCACCACCACCACCCACCACCACCACCCACCACCAACGAACATTACCAGTGTGAAGGTAAGATGTGTTGTGAGTAATGGAACAGTCTAATGGAACAGTCTAATGGAACAGTCGGCTACAAGGGGGTTCAAGCAGCCACAACAGTTATGAACACATGAGTGTTCATAACTGTTGTGAACAACTAAAGTTGTTCATAACTTTGTAACAACTAAAGTTACAAAGTTAACATCAGAATAACTGTCTAAAGTAACTTTAAGTCAAGAACAAGTAATACAAAACAATAAAAAGAGCAAAACCAGCAGAAGTAAAATTAGCAAAACTAGCAGCAGAAAGAACAGCAAAAAAACTTGCAGTAAAAGTACAATAAAAAAAGCAGTAAGAGCAAAACAGCAACACAAACAGCAGCAACAAAAGCAACAGCAGACACAAAACAGCAGACACAAACAGCAGACACAAACAGCAGACACAAAAGCAACAGCAGACACAAAACAGCAGACACAAACAGCAGACACAAAAGCAACAGCAGACACAAAACAGCAGACACAAACAGCAGACACAAACAGCAGACACAAAAGCAACAGCAGACACAAACAGCAGACACAAACAACAGACACAAAAGCAACAGCAGACACAAAACAGCAGACACAAACAGCAGACACAAAAGCAACAGCAGACACAAAACAGCAGACACAAACAGCAGACACAAACAGCAGACACAAAACAGCAGACACAAACAGCAGACACAAAAGGAACAGCAGACACAAAACAGCAGACACAAACAGCAGACACAAAAGCAACAGCAGACACAAAACAGCAGACACAAACAGCAGACACAAACAGCAGACACAAACAGCAGACACAAAAGCAACAGCAGACACAAACAGCAGACACAAACAACAGACACAAAAGCAACAGCAGACACAAACAGCAGACACAAACAACAGACACAAAAGCAACAGCAGACACAAAACAGCAGACACAAACAGCAGACACAAAAGCAACAGCAGACACAAAACAGCAGACACAAACAGCAGACACAAAAGCAACAGCAGACACAAAACAGCAGACACAAACAGCAGACACAAAAGCAACAGCAGACACAAACAGCAGACACAAACAACAGACACAAAAGCAACAGCAGACACAAAACAGCAGACACAAACAGCAGACACAAAAGCAACAGCAGACACAAAACAGCAGACACAAACAGCAGACACAAACAGCAGACACAAAACAGCAGACACAAACAGCAGACACAAAAGGAACAGCAGACACAAAACAGCAGACACAAACAGCAGACACAAAAGCAACAGCAGACACAAAACAGCAGACACAAACAGCAGACACAAACAGCAGACACAAACAGCAGACACAAAACAGCAGACACAAAACAGCAGACACAAACAGCAGACACAAAAGCAACAGCAGACACAAAACAGCAGACACAAACAGCAGACACAAAAGCAGGAGCAGCAACCAAAAAACAAAAAAAAAACAAATACAAAATTCATGGGTGTTGATAGCTGAGGTTTCTGGCTCATCTCGCACAAAGAATAAGGCGATGCTGCAGGCATATCCCGTCTATACGGTCGTTAGAAGAAGCAGGGGGAACAACCTGCCAAACTGGTTAAGCTAGTTCACCCCCCCCCACTCAGGGTCACTTACTCGTACCCAAACGACTGCCACAACCACTAAAAAAAAAAACCCTACCTACCTTGAGGTGCTAACACGGTCTTGCCTCCTGGTACTCCTTGTTCTAGTAACACGTTAATTCAATTCAATTCATGTCAACTGGCAACATCACTATTGCCATCCAGTGCCAATGTTGACACTATGTTTACTATTAGTTCATTCCTTGGCAACTATAGCCTGCAGTAGCAATATACTCCAAACCATGTGGCGCCCCTGATGTCACATCTTCTAAATTTGAGTATTTTGTACATCATTATCATGTCTCTCCTGTTTCTACTCCTCTTCAGTGTTTGGGAGGTTCTGTTTATTCAGTATATCGTTTTCAGTTCTGTCTGACGAGACGAAGAATCGATTCCAGTGCTGGAAATTGTAGAACATATAATGCATGGAATGTGTAGCTTTAAGAATAATTCTTTGTTCAGACTTCTGAACCAAGTCTATGTAGACTCCTGTATCCGAGGACCCAGTACTAGAGGCTCCTGTATCCGAGGACCCAGTACTGGAGGCTCCTGTATCCGAGGACCCAGTACTAGAGGCTCCTGTATCCGAGGACCCAGTACTGGAGGCTCCTGTATCCTAGGAAACAGTACTGGAGGGTCCTGTATCCTAGGAAACAGTACTGGAGGCTCCTGTATCCTAGCAAACAGTACTGGAGGCTCCTGTATCCTAGCAAACAGTACTGGAGACTCCTGTATCCTAGGACCCAGTACTGGAGGCTCCTGTATCCTAGGAAACAGTACTGGAGGCTCCTGTATCCTAGGAAACAGTACTGGAGGCTCCTGTATCCTAGCAAACAGTACTGGAGGCTCCTGTATCCTAGCAAACAGTACTGGAGGCTCCTGTATCCTAGGAAACAGTACTGGAGGCTCCTGTATCCTAGCAAACAGTACTGGAGGCTCCTGTATCCTAGCAAACAGTACTGGAGGCTCCTGTATCCTAGGAAACAGTACTAGAGGCTCCTGTATCCTAGGAAACAGTACTGGAGGCTCCAGTATCCTAGGAAACAGTACTGGAGGCTCCTGTATCCTAGGAAACAGTACTGGAGGCTCCTGTATCCTAGGACCCAGTACTAGAGGCTCCTGTATCCTAGGAAACAGTACTGGAGGCTCCTGTATCCGCGGACCCAGTACTGGAGACTCCTGTATCCTAGGAAACAGTACTGGAGGCTCCTGTATCCTAGGAAACAGTACAGGAGGCTCCTGTATCCTAGGACCCAGTACTGGAGGCTCCTGTATCCTAGGAAACAGTACTGGAGGCTCCTGTATCCTAGGAAACAGTACTGGAGGCTCCTGTATCCTAGGACCCAGTACTAGAGGCTCCTGTATCCTAGGAAACAGTACTGGAAGCTCCTGTATCCGCGGACCCTGTACAGCAGCATGCATGCGAATTGCCGAGTTACAAGTGGCAAGAATGAGTGGCAATCAATCACCCAAACGACCCTACCAGCCGTGTTAACAGCCTCCCGTAACCACACGACTACCCCTTCACCACCCCCTCAACAACCACCACCACCACCACATCCCCTGTGGGAAGACCGCTCTCCCACAGAGGTATATATATATTCACTCTCCCTCCCCCACCACAGTCACTGTTCCCATCACAGTCAACATTTACTGTCGTCACTGCAGTCATTGTCATAACTATACAGTCACTGTAACTATGTTCACAGGTGTCATACCTCAACCCGTTCTCGCAAATTCGTAAAGTCAATATTGACTTATAAACTACGTGCATAGGTGATATACTAAACATAATAGATACCCTTAAAAAGATTCATAGAAAACACCGACCTTACCTAACCTTGTTAGTATCTTAAGATAAGCATCTTATTGCTTCGTAATTACAATTATTACTTAACCTATACCTATTATAGGTTAGGTAATAATTGTAATTACGAAGCAATAAGATGCTTATCTTAACATACTAAGTAGGTTAGGTAAGGTCGGTGTTTTCTATGAATCTTTTTAAGGGTATCTATTATGTTAAGTATGTCACCTATGCACATATTTAATAAGTCAATATTGACTTATTAAATTTGCGAGAACGGGTTGTGCATACCTACCTCAGGGTTCGTCCCCGACCATAGGTGCTAGTAACGTTTCTTGACGAGGATGATTAGTAAACAAAGCAAGCTTAGACGCATCACCCCACATCACTTACACACACAAACACACACAATTTAACCCAAAACAAACTTTATTTTCCCGAAGAAACAACGAAATAGCGTTTATCCAACTATGCCGTCTCGTTCTACCTGTGTAGGTAACATCCCTTTCTTGCGTCAGTGCGTTTAAACGTCAGCCGGACGGCGACGACGCTAAGTCATCTGTACCGTATGGAGCTAGAGAGCTGAGGAGGAGGATATTATGCAAATGGACGGTTCTTAAGTCAATGCAAATATCCGCCAGTGCCTGGTGAGCACGTTGGGGGGGGGGGGAGGGGAATGTTTGGCGAAGAACTGCGTCATAACCCATGTACTACACCCTCTCACAGCTCCTGCAAAAGCCAAAGTGGATGCATTTAAATGCTGTAACAATAGAAATCATTGAAGGCATATTAAGCATGAGACTAACATGTACCCCCCCTCCCTCCCCACCACCACCTGTAAAAAAGACGTCAATGAACGTCAAAAAAAAGATGTTCATTGACGTCAAAAAGACGTCAGTAAGTTTAAGCATATTAAATAGGATTGAGTTGTGTCAGTATGATAGGATTGGTTGGTCTGTGGTGGACGGTATGATCATGCTATGGGTACAGTGAGTGGATTGGACAAAGTGGATTGGAGGAACGCCCAGTACCGGGTCCTCGGGTACAGTCTCCTCCAGCGGGTACATGGGCCTCCAGTACGGGGGTCCTCCGGTACAGTTTCTTTAGGATCATTGTTATCATCATCATTCTTATATGATATTTTTTTAGGATCATTATTCCTCATCAGCGTTGTTATGTGATGATATGAGCAGATCTTCATGGCATGTGTGTGTATGTGTGTACTCACCTAGGTGTACTCACCTAGGTGTACTCACCTAGGTGTACTTACCTAGGTGTACTCACCTAGATGTACTTGCTGGGTTGAGCTATGCTCCTATGCAGGCGATGAGTCACAATAACGTAGCTGAAGTATGTTCACCAGACCACACACTAGAAGTTGAAGGGACGACGACGTTTCGGTCCGTCCTGGACCATTCTCAAGTCGATTCAATCGACTTGAGAATGGTCCAGGACGGACCGAAACGTCGTCGTCCCTTCAACTTCTAGTGTGTGGTCTGGTCAACAGCTATGCTCCTATCCTCGCCTTCCGAGTGTTCTTAGATTAATGTAATGACTCATTTCTCATTCTTTTATCATATTTACATGTAGAAGTTTGAATCGATTTAGCTTCACCGACGTCTACGTCTAATATGTTCCACGTATTGACAGCTCTGGCACTGAAAACGTTGTTTCTGACGTTCCTGAGACTCATTTGCGTCTCGAGTTTGCGTCTATTGGCCCTCTCGTTCTGCTGTTCCTAGCTGCGAACAATGCTGCTTTGTCTGCCTTATAAATTTCCTTTAGAATCTTGTATGTTGTTATCACATCCCCTCTATGTCTCCTTTCCTTCAGTGTGGTAAGGTCCAATTCCTTCAGTCTTTCTTCATAGTTTATGCCCTTCAACCTCAGGATCAAGTCTTGTTGCATATCTCTGGAATTTTTATAGTTTCTCGTTTTTTGTTCTAGTTTCTGTGTGTGTGTGTATGTGTGTGTGTGTGTGTATGTGTGTGTGTGTACTCACCTATATGTACTCACCTATATGTGCTTGCAGGATCGAGCATTGACTCTTGGATCCCGCCTTTCTAGCTATCGGTTGTTTACAGCAATGACTCCTGTCCCATTTCCCTATCATACCTAGTTTTAAAAGTATGAATAGTATTTGCTTCCACAACCTGTTCCCCAAGTGCATTCCATTTTTCTACTACTCTCACGCTAAAAGAAAACTTCCTAACATCTCTGTGACTCATCTGAGTTTCCAGTTTCCACCCATGTCCCCTCGTTCTGTTATTATTACGTGTGAACATTTCATCTATTTCCACTTTGTCAATTCCCCTGAGTATTTTATATGTCCCTATCATATCTCCTCTCTCCCTTCTTTTCTCTAGTGTCGTAAGGTTCAGTTCCTTCAGCCGCTCTTCATATCCCATCCCTCGTAGCTCTGGGACAAGCCTCGTCGCAAACCTCTGAACCTTCTCCAGTTTCTTTATGTGTTTCTTCAGGTGGGGGCTCCATGATGGCGCGGCATACTCTAAGACGGGTCTCACGTAGGCAGTGTAAAGCGCCCTAAAAGCTTCCTCATTTAGGTTTCTGAATGAAGTTCTAATTTTCGCCAGTGTAGAGTACGCTGCTGTCGTTATCCTATTTATATGTGCCTCAGGAGTTAGATTAGGTGTCACATCCACTCCCAGGTCTCTTTCTCGAATCGTTACAGGTAGGCTGTTCCCCTTCATTGTGTACTGTCCCTTTGGTCTCCTGTCACCTGATCCCATTTCCATAACTTTACATTTACTGGTGTTAAACTCCAGTAGCCATTTCCCTGACCATCTCTGCAGCCTGTTTAAGTCCTCTTGGAGGATCCTACAATCCTCGTCTGTCACAACTCTTCTCATTAATTTTGCGTCATCTGCAAACATTGACATGTGTGTGTGTGTGTGTGTGTGTGTGTGTGTGTGTGTGTGTGTGTGTGTGTGTGTGTGTGTGTGTGTGTGTGTGTGGGCGCGCGCGTCCCTCACAAGATAAGGCCACCTAGAGAGGTTCCTCCTTCATAACTGAGGGAAAACATTAGGGGAGTCGTAATATTCCAGCTTCTCTCCTCACTGCTTTTAGAAGTGGTAATTTCGGCAGTAATTGCTCTACGGCCGACATTCTCTAGTTCCACGACCCCCGGAGACTATACCACATCTCCCGCTTGCTGTT